GACTCAGCGTCCGACGTACGCCTGAGTAAGGCCCGTTGGCGCAAACATTGGTAGCAGAGCGTGGTTGGTTGTTTCATCAACAGTGGTACTCAGGATCTTAGTTAGTAGATTTTCATTGATCATATTATGCTGTATAGATATAAGGTGTGTACATTTATTTATCTGACCTTTCTCCTGGCACTTTTATGAATTATTTAATTTGGTGGTAAACCTATATAATAAATATAATACATGTGTTATTATCATATATTTTGATCGATCATTCTCAATAGTGATATTTTATTCAGTTAATTGAATACGTTAGGCCTTTAATTGCTACTCAAAACAGCAGATCAGTTGTTAAGGTAATATAATTTTATGAATTATTTTTAGTATATTAATTTGGTGCTATATACATCTTGTTTTTTGGCTATGAAATTAGTAGCATTTAGTATTGTTTTGACTTAAATACGTCAAGTATTTTTGGACTGTTCTGTTGTTTTTAATTAATTATATTTATGGTGCTCTCTGAGTTAATGTTATGCAGTGTTCATTTTAATATTGTAAATTAGCAATAGGATTTTGTTTACTAGTGGCAGATATAGTTAACACCTATTTTATATATTACATTTTATTAAATTTATTGAGTTGTTTAATCATCTATTATGTTACTGCCATGTTGTTGACAGTTAGGATTTAATAGTGACACGCTCTGTAAAATAAAGATTAAGATATATAATTTGTCAGCGCAAGATTCAGGTGTACTTTGTGATCCATACCAGTGGTCAGATATTGTATTATTTCATTATTATATACTATTATTTTGGTCTTTGTATTATATTGTCCACTATAAGGTTGATCAACTTAGGGTTATGTAATACATAATTATTTACTTAGTTAGATCATAATTAATATAGCCAATTTAATAATAATTATTTTCTGTATTGAATAGTTTGTTTACACATGCGTTCTGATTAACTTTATCACTGTAGTTGCTCATCTATTGTTTTATCTTGTGTAAGTCTTCAAAGTTTAATAGATTGACTGTATGGTTTTATTTTGGCCAGTTGCTTGTATATCTAATGTCTCCTCCGACGCTCTATTACATTATAATTTTTCGGGTTTGATCATTGCCTCATGATTGTGCTCATCCGTTACTCTATTATTTAATTTTTATTTTATCAAGTGAGGTTATTGTTTCTAATTATAGCATAAGGCCATAGGTTGTATTGTTCATTTATCCCTATTTGCTCATTTGTTTATTATTTAATTTGTTATGACATTATAAGATTATTAGGAGGTGCTCATCCCTCTTGTTGTTGATTATCCTTTATAGTTTGGACTTGTTGTGTATACTGATAAGTGGCCTTGTTATATTAACAAATGATTTAGTACCGCGCTGTACAATTGTTGTTAGTTGTTTGTTTTTATATATACCCAGTTTCTGGTAATATGGCTGGTGCTGAACGTGATGTGAGAGCTAAGGATAGAGTGATCTTACGTAGAGATCGATTAATAGCTCGGATCCGCCAAATCCATGCATTAGCTACTAGTGCAGCCTCGGATCAGGCTAGTCGAGCTCAACTAGCCGTAGTTATTGTCGATCTTGACACTTTGTGGAGTAATTTTGAGGCAGAAAATAATAATTTGTTAGAGATACTTTCTGATTTGGATCAATTGGGGGAGTATTCGTTAGATGTCGAAACTGATACTCGGTCGTTGGTTGTGGAAGCCAAAGCGTTGTTCAACGATTGCCAACCAGCTCCGGTTTTAAGTGTTGGTGCGCTCCAGCAAGTGTCATATGGGAAACCAGTTGATAGTTCCAGTTGCTCCGCTGGATCATCCAGGGACGTTCCAACACCTTGTATACCAAGGGATTTAGCACCCGCAAGGTTACCCGAAATTCCGCTTCCATATTTTGACGGTGAATGCCAGAATTGGCCTGCGTTCCGGGATAGGTTCAACACGCTGGTGGCTAAGGACCCTAATATTTCGGACACAGTCAAATTCTATTACCTTATAGGGTGCCTCCATGCAGATCCGCAGGAGGTAATCAAGGGGTTCACCATGTCGTAGGATTCATTCACCTTGGCATGTAATGCTTTGGTCGAGCGGTACGATAGACCGCGCATGTTGGCGTCGTCTATAATAGATAAATGGATCTCAGCCCCTGTCGCTGCCTCAGAAAGCTATGCCGCTCTGCAAGCTTTCCTGTCGGTCTTTGACGAAAACATTGTCATTTTGGACTCGCTCCAGAACCCCGAATTGGCGTCGTTTCTGTTGTTCTCGTTGGTGGCTAGGTGTCTACCTACATCTTCACGACGATTATTCGAGTCGGAAAACAATGAAGATTATCCCTCCGTCCAAAGCGTGGTAAAATTCGTCAAGTCGCGGCTGCAGGTGCTTGAAAATGCTGGGGTACCATTTTCGGGAAGCTCCTCCAAACCTGCCAAGCCGAATCCGAAGCCGCAAGGATTTCGTCGAGATACCAAGGTCACCTTTGTTTCAGCAACAAAACCTGTACCGAAGAAATGTCATCTATGCTCTGGTGCTCATCGGTTGGCTGATTGTAGCTGATTCAAAGCGGCATCAGTTGACGACCGTTACACTGTTGTCTGCACCCATCGACTTTGCATGGTCTGTTTTGGGGAAGGGCATATGTCTTTCAAGAGTTCCGTATCATGCTCTATTTGTAAGCGACGACATCACGCCTTGCTGCATCGAGATGCGATTCCAAAGAAGGCCGCTTCACCTGCAGCACTACTAAGTCGACAGGAAGCGCCCACTGTTATTTTAGGTACTGCTCTGGTCCATGTTCGGGATACAGTAGGGAGTTTCAGGTCAGTGCGTGCACTGATTGACTCCGCATCGCAAATTAGTGCTATAACTTCGGATTGCTGCGATAGGCTAGGTCTAAAACCGTCACGTTGGACTGTTCCGGTTTCAGGTCTCTCTGGGCAGAAAGTCCCGGATGTGCAAGGTCTTGTCCAATTGGTTGTTCAACCTCGGAACTCTTCCTCGCCGTCTATTCCGGTTAAGACTTGGGTTCTGTCGTCAATCACGTCTGATATGCCAGCTAGACAATTACCAATTCAAGTCCGAACTAAATGCGGTCAGCTGTTCTTAGCAGATCCATTGTTCGATAAACCAGCTCCGGTAGAATTGCTCTTTAGGGCGGACGTTTTCCCTCAAATTTGGAATGAGAAAAGCGATTCATTTGGCCCTGGTTACCCATCTGTGTACAGCTCTATCTTCGGATGGGTGCTGATCGGCCCTGTCCAAACTCATCCGGATGTGGGGGCTCAATCCATGCTGGTTTCGTTAGTATCGTCCATGGAGACCTTGATAGAAAAGTTCTGGAATGTTGAAGAACCTGAGGTTGCTCCACCTCAATTTACAGAAGATGGCTTGTATGAGAACCTTTTCTGCTCTGAGGTTACTCGTGATGACCGAGGTCGATTTTCGGTTCCTCTTCCGTTCAGACCAGAGAGGATTTCAGAAGAGTTTCCGGGATCACGACAAGTCGCCTTAAACCGTTTCTTACAATCAGAGCGAAAATTGTCTGCAGATAAGATTTTGCACAAAGCGTACTGTAAGTTTATGAACGACTATGAAGAATTGGGTCACATGAGTCTTGCAGAAGGTGCTGGTCGATATTTCATACCGCATCAAAAGGTTGAAGCAGACAGTCTGAAATTAAGAGTAGTCTTTGATGCTTCAGCTAAATGCCATTCCGGAATTTCCTAGAACCAGTGCCTATTGGTTGGACCAAAGCTCCAACAGGACATTGTTGACGTGCTGACCGGATTCAGAGTTCACAAGGTGGCATTCACGACGGACATTTGTAAAATGTACCGTCAGATTGACGTGTTGCCACAATACAGGTGGTATCAGCATGTTTTGTGGAGAGATTCACCACAAGATACGATCAAAGAATACACTCTCAATACGGTCACATATGGGGTAAATAATGCTCCCTATTTAGCCCTGCGTGTTCTTCAATATATAGCCGACACAGAATGTGAAGAACTTCCGGATGTACAATGCGTTCTACGGAATCAAACGTACATGGACGACATTTGCGTTGGTGCAGAATCGCTGGAAGCCGCCCAAGCCCTTCAAACCCACCTGATCCGGTTGCTAGGCCAGTCTGGCCTGGAGTTAAAGAAATGGGCCAGCAATTCTCCTGAGCTATTGGACCTGATGAAACCAGAGGATTGTTCAGTGGATCTTCTGACATTTGATCAGGAAAATTCGGTGCAAGTGCTGGGAATGCGTTGGAATCCTAGTGAGGACTTCTTTTCCTTTTACACCAATGATTTCAGATTGATCCTTACTAAGCGTGGTGTGTTGTCCATGATCGCGAGGATTTTCGACCCGCTAGATCTGCTTTCACCAACAACTTTTTATGCAAAAACGATCATGCAACGTCTGTGGCTCGCACAGGTTGACTGAGACAGTCCGATCCCTGAGGATATTGCAGATGATTGGTGTGGTTTCTATCATTCGTTGAGTTCGTTGCAAGTAATCAGGGTTCCGCGTTATCTCGGTAGTTTTACTGGTTGTATCTGGTCGATCGCGATCGACGACGGTCGTAATTAGGATGAGCTGATAACGCAAGCGCGCTGCGTGCGCCCCCGAACCAGTGGTGTAGTCTAGTCTAGCGTCAACGTCATGTGCGGCGTGAATGATAGATACGTGATCGGCCATTAAGCCACCTTAAAATGACAATTATTTCGTTGAATTAAAATAAAAAACCCAATTCCTTAAATCAAAACAAAGTCTAAGTTTTTATACAGTCCACATCGCCACAGTATCTACCATCTATGTGGCTTTTGTGATGCCTCGGAGAAGGGCTATGCTGCAGTGGTGTATCTCCGTGTGACGGATCCGTCGGGAGCTGTATCTAATTACCTGTTGGGCACTAAGACTAAGTTAGCCCCAATGAAAGCCATGACAATCCCACGTCTGGAATTAAGTGGTACGGCGCTCCTCGCATTGTGGTTAGCTAGGCTCAAGCGTATCCTGGAATCCCAGTTGGCGATATCCGAGGTTTTTGCGTGGTCTGATTCGTCCATTGTGCTCTCATGGCTTAGCTACCCGCACACTTCGTTTAAGACGTTTGTGTCCAATAGAGTCTTCCAAATTCAATCCACGTTACCTGGTTGCAGTTGGCAACATATCAGCTCTGAAATCAATCCAGCAGATTGTGCTTCACGTGAGCTTCCCCCTGCCGAACTTCGAAAATGCAAACTCTATTGGGAAGGTCCTAGATTTTTGCATTCTCCGGTGGAGACTTGGACTCAAGATTTCTCGTGCTTAAAGTTGGAACAATTGCCAGAAACAAAGCCAGTGTGTTTGGTAGCGCGCGAAGAACCATCTTGTGAATGGTCCATTCGATTTCCATCGTTTATCCAGATGATTCGCGTGATTGCTCAGGTCATTCGGTTCATCTAGAGGTGTCGAAAGAAAAGTGTGGAGTTAGGCTACCTTAGACAGTCGGAATTAGATGCAGTTCTGCATGTTATAGTTAAGAATGCTCAACATTGCTACATGAGTGATTTGGTCGCCAGTTTGCATACAGAGACTACGATCACGTCCAAGTCCTTAGCTCGTCTTTGTCCGTTCATAGATTCGTTTGATTTAATTCGTGTAGGTGGTGGTATGCAGAACTCTAATAGGTCAGAACGGCGCATGCACCCTATGTTGATCCCAAAAGAGTCCCACCTGGCTGTTCTTATTACTCGTCATTGGCACCTCTATGCATGTCATGCTCGACCTCGATTGCTTACCGCCCTTGTTCAACAACAATTTTGGATTATTGGAATTCGCCTTATAGTTCACCGGGTGATTCGCAAATGTCTGATTTGTGCAAAAATGTCGGCCGCTAACCCATAACCCATCATGGCAGCTCTGCCAAGCTTTCGGGTAAGGGAAGCACATCCCTTTTCGGTGGTGGGGATCGATTACGCACGTCCCTTGGAAATTAAAGAGTTCAGTTTGCGAAAGTCCCGAATTGTAAAAGTTTATATCGCACTATTTGTCTGTATGACTACTAAAGCTGTGCATTTGGAGTCAGTGACGGCACTGTCTACTGATGCGTTTCGCTTAACGCTAGATAGGTTTGTAGCTCGTCGTGGTGTACCAATTTCAATCTATTCAGATTGTAGCACCAATTTTGTCGGTGCGGCTCGTCAGCTAAGACACTTGGTCAATCATTCGGATAGTAGGAGTCAGTTGGCTGGCCATATAACTTGTAACTGGCACTTTAATCCTCCGGCAGCTCCCCATTTTGGGGGAATTTGGGAAGCGGCCGTTAAATCCGCAAAATCCCTGCTCATACGCGCCATGTCTTCTCAAGTTTGGACGTTGGAAGAATTTACAACAATCTTGTGTAGGGTCGAGGCAGCCTTGAATTCGCGTCTGCTGGTACCTGCTTCGCCTGATCCAAATGATCTAGAATGCCTAACACCTGGCCATTTGAGGTCGACCTCTAATGTCTATCCCCGAACCTGTTGAGTCCGCCACGCATATGGGATTGCGAACTCGCTGGAAGCTCCTCCAGCAGTCCTTTCAGTATTTCTGGCGTCGTTGGTCCCGCGAATACCCTCCAAGCTCGTGGTAGATGGACAAAATCTGAGACCAATGTCGAAGTTAGTACCATGGTTATTATCAAGGTCAACGACTCCTCCCCGCTATCGTGGCCGTTAGGTAGAATCATTGAGGTTTGTCCAGGACCAGATCAGGTGGTTCGAGTATCAAAGGTACTGACTCAACAGGGGGTGTTCACCAGACCTGTAGTCAAGTTGGTTCCCTTACCCACTGACCCTTAATTATTGTATTATAAAATATATAGAGTGCTCCCTCCCATGTACACATTTTTTATCTATATATGTATAATATGTTCATTATTTAGTTGTTAGTTTTATTATCCATATTGCCTGCTGCCGTTGTTTTCATCAGCTGCTCTGCTTCTGTAACTGGCGTGAGATGGATAATACATGTTCAGAATGTCTTTACAAGCTCAAGGTGTGAGCAATTTTTAATTGTGATTGTTAAATATGCTTAAATATGTTTTCCTTTTTATAAATGTTGAGACTGATTGTAAATCTTGTGATTATCTTACTTTGTTCCTTTATTATAATTATTTATGTATTACCATGTAAAAAATATATGATATTATTAACGATAGTTCCTATCATGCTAATACTCAAACATATATATTTGGTTATGTTTTATTAAGGTTGTATTTATATTAATTGCTCCATTGATGTTGTAATGGTCATCGACCAATGTCGCCCATTTTGTAAAACCACGTACACCGCTCTGCTCAACTGCTCCGTTTCATCTGCCGTGACAACTGCTCCGTTCAACATACTCGCTCTTCCGCTCCGCTATTTCAATCACGTACAACGATCTGCTCAAACTACTCAGTTTACAAGACTATCTGCTCAATTGCTCCGTTCTTACTGCTATGTACACTGGCTAAATAGCCCACCCTTCAGCTCTGAAGAAATCGAACGGTACTGTTGCAAGTAGACGGCAACTTGCAAGGGGGAGTATGTTCGATCATTTTGCGTAATTTGAATTGCCCCCGGTCTTGGACCTGGGTAAGAAAGTGACCGCGCTCCGTCACCAACGAAGTTGGCGACATTGCATCGCCGTCGCCCTGGTCCGGTCGACGGCGCGTGCACCACCGCTCACGGTCGTTTTTTGTTCGCGGTCTGTCTGTTCGGTTGAAGTCGTTCTCGACGATCAACGCTGTTGTTATTTTGCTCTTGCGCACATGCTTTTGTGTCAACGTGTTCTCGTCTGTGGCCGCCATTACTGTCATCCACGTGTTCCGGATCGGATTTACAGTAGCTGCTCACCCGTTGCCACACATTGCCTGCTCCGGCCTTCAGAGCGGTGTTCCCCATCTCCCCACAATATATTCGGTTGTATATGTGCGATCGACGACGGTCGTAATTAGGATGAGCTGATAACGCAAGCGCG